GGTGTAGGGTGAAGTGTCCTCTGATGGGACTCCCATCCTCCTCCTCTTCTGGAATTCGGCTTGCTGTAAGTCTTGTGTAAATGAGGAGGCCACAGGTAATCAGGACAAGGAGGACGGGGGAAGGGTCATGTAGGAGGTCACGGGACACTTCCAGCCTCCAGGTGCGAGGGGGTTAATTGACCATATAAAAGGAGCAGAGAGGAGTCCTTTCTTCTATTGTGGTCTCCAGTCCCCGTCAGACATGTTCCCGGTCCTCTTCCTGGGGTTGTCCCTCCTGTCCTTCCCCTCTCTGGCTCTGCTCAGAATTCTGCCCATGCGAGGCTGGTCCAATGAGGTGGAGGCCCCCCACGGCTGTGGACCCTGCCAGGAAGAGCGCTGTCCCCCGGCACCCCAGCGTTGCCCGGCCGGCAGGGTGAGGGATCGCTGTGGCTGCTGCTGGGAGTGCGCCAACGTGGAGGGGCAGATGTGCGACCTCCCCTGGATGAAGCATCAGTTTGGGACCTGCGGAGAGGAACTGAGGTGCCGGGTGAAGGTTGGGCACAGCGAGGAACCCCAATGCGTCTGCCCCAGCCAGGAGAGCATGTGCGGCACCGACCGCAGGACCTACAAAAACATCTGCCGCTTACAGGAGGCCGCCAGGACCAGGCGGAGGACGGTGCTGAATGTGCATCACCCAGGACCCTGCCGGGAAGGTGAGTCCCCGTGGGTGCCTAGAGGCGGGGGAGGGGGGCAGGGTAGGAGTGTGGGCCATGGGATGGTTGGAGACTCTGTGTCTCAGGTACTTGTGTGGGGTGTCAGGAGGAGGGATTGGATCTGATGTTGTGAACATTGTGTTGAGTTGGAGGCCAAACCCATAGTCACCTGTGCCATGGGCCCCCCATAGGGCCCCGGTCTCCCTCCTCTCCTATCCCGTCTTATGGGCCCCTTTGTAGAGCTCTAGAATCTGGTTACGTTGCGGGTTGTGGAAGCGACGGTCTCTGCCAAATGTTCCTCCAAGACTGAGATGTTGTGTCCTGATGTGACCAGCCACGGCCTACACACGGCAGAATGGAGGCCATCAGCAAGGATATCACATGAACTGCCCCCCCCCCCCTCCGGGAGGCCGGAGACTGCGGCTGATCTACCCAACTGCGGCACCAGATTCCGGGGCGGTGAGGAGGCCCAACTTTACTATCGTTCTGTGGTGACAAGGAGACCAAGGTTCGGGGTTCTCACTCAGGGGGCCATAAGAATATTATGGCACAGGGTATCCAAGTACCTGAGGCCAGCTAGCCGGTACCATAGAACCTGAGGCCAGCCGGTACCATAGAACCTGAGGCCAGCCAGTACCATAGAACCTGAGGCCGACCTGCACCATAGAACCTGAGACCAGATGGTACCATAGAGCCTGAGGCCGACCTGCACCATAGAACCTGAGGCCAGCCGGTACCATAGAACCTGAGACCAGCCGGTACCATAGAACCTGAGGCCAGCTGGTACCATAGAACCTGAGGCCAGCTGGTACCATAGAACCTGAGGCCAGCTGGTACCATAGAGCCTGAGGCCGACCTGCACCATAGAACCTGAGGCCAGCCGGTACCATAGAACCTGAGACCAGCCGGTACCATAGAACCTGAGGCCAGCTGGTACCATAGAGCCTGAGGCCGACCTGCACCATAGAACCTGAGGCCAGCTGGTACCATAGAGCCTGAGGCCGACCTGCACCATAGAACCTGAGGCCAGCCGGTACCATAGAGCCTGAGGCCGACCTGCACCATAGAACCTGAGGCCAGC